CTGCAAGCATTACCTTTCGGATAAAAAAAGAATTATCCAAATCGGTCCACTAGCGGCGGAGTTATGCCGTAACACACATAAAAAAAAATATATACCGTCGAATTGAATACCTCCTTCTTTTGGGAAGTCGGTCAAAAAGGGTGATAAAGAGAAAGGGACTTAAATTAGCCTCCTTTCTTTCTAATCAGCGTACATGATAACATTTAAATTCCACTTTCTCTTTTATCAATGCAAAAAATACGTATTTAAATTCACTTCATTACTTCTTACTATAACTAAAACATCATACTAATATTATAAATGCAAACGTTTAGATGGATTGCCGTTTGTTAGAGTTTGTAGGTTAAACCGCTGAACGGATCTTGATAAAATTGGTTAGAGTTGTAGAGAATAGTCAGGAGGAACATATAAGCTAATCACTTTTTTTTAATCCACGCGGACGGAGTCGCTGGCGAAAGCTAGCTTAAAATAAATTTTCTCAACTAACTGGCACTCATTACATCGCTGTAATTTATGATGAAAATATAATGAAGTATCTTGAAAAACAAGTAATCTTTCATCGACCCTTGCCTTTGTTAAGAAAATCCCTTACAAAAACTTTCGAAGAGAAATTCCGATACAATCAGTGTTATCAATTAACTTTGGAACATTATCCTAGGAATTATTACAGTAAAATTGTAAACGAATTGGTTTAAACTTTCAATTACTATTGCGATCACTAGAAATTTAAGGTATGCCAATCAATACCAATATAATAAAGACGAAAGATGTGTAATTTAATATGTATTGAACTCACCAATTACTAGGCCAATTTCAAAAATACTTTCTACATTAAAAAACTACGTTACGTTAAAGTAACATAGGCCATGTGATTACTATTTTTTGATTTCGATTTTTTAAGGCGAAGTCGCGAAACTATCGACTAGCTATTGCTAGTTATAAACGTCTTAGATTAGTATAAATGGCTTGATCGATAGTTTGGTTAGGCTCTAAGTACATGTATTGCTTAAATATTACTTGTTTGATATAGCTAAAGTTAAACATCTTTTAAATTTACATTGTCGTGTGATTGATCTTTACAAATTCCCCTAGGACGACCCCTACTAACGTTGTCACTAAATTTCGCTATTTTTTCAATGTTACTTTATTCCTTTCATCCTCAAAGATTGCTCGAAAAAAGGATAATGAAATTAACTAATTCAAAGGAAATAAAATGATGTAACGATCTTTTTAATTAGCCATAAAATTAAGATTTTATAATCCCTGAAACTGCTGTGTTAATATTAAAACTGAAGAACAATGTAGCCATCATAATTAGTGTCAGCATAAAAGCGTTTGAGTATTCTTGAATCGTTGCGTTAACTCTGCTGTTTTGTGTCATTTTGTAGGAAACGAGTATAAATTACTAACGTTATAAATTCAGCTGTGATTTTAAGCTTTACCGTCTTGGAAGTTAATTGGGACGAAGGCGGATATAGCTGTCTGATTTTAAATCAACTCATTATATCTTAAATGGCGTCGGCGATCACGCGATAGATTGGCATAATTTTGTACAACCTTTTTTAATGTGAAAGAAGGATCATAATTTAATGTTCTTCTTTAAATATGTTTGAATATTTTATTTATTTTAATAAAAGCTCTATTGTAACATTTATTTCTCTTTTGTTTCAGATAAAAACATCGAAATGTCTGCACCTACAAGTGATAGTACTGAAGCCATCACTAACTCTGGCTATGGCAGCAGTGACGAGACAGCAAGTCTGCTTGTCGCAGCCCCAGCGGTGACAGTTATCGTGCCCACCGAGAACAGAACTGTCAAGCCTATCTTGCAGCGACAAGATTGCACAACTAACTTACGACCTCAATTATCAGGTGGCCCGGGTAGCGAGGAGAGTGCAACGTCTGTTAGAATTGAAGATAACTCGACAAGAAGTGTTCCCGATATAGAATTACAATGTCGAGATCCGCCAGATCGGCCCCAAACACTAATATCGCCCGTGGCCACCGGCAGCCACAGATGTTCAGTTACCACCTGCCAATTAGTTCCTCACGGATACGCTAGATGTCGCGTTTGCGAACGCAGGCAGTCAACGGCGCCAGTGTCGGCATTGCACCTAGCGCGATCTGTTTCAAGAGAAAGCGTTCGTTCAGCATTTCATTACAACTGTGGTTGTAGTTCCCTGCACGCCGTTAACACGTGCCCCGTCATACAACCGCCGGCGCTACTGTTGCCCACAACTAGTACTCGAATCATCCGCCAGAGTTCGCAGCCGGAGTCGAGCGCATGCGTGACCCACTGCCCTCACCACGCCCACCACCACCCTAGCGCCTCCTTGCGGCAACTGCGAGAACCAGGCGATGGAATTGCGGGCATTGCTGCTGATTCACTGAGAATAAATGGTGGAATGCGACCCTTCAAACAGGTAAGTGTACGCGATAGATGGCGCTGTTATTTTTTATGCTCGTCGGTGTCAATTTAGTAACGTTTAATTGGCAGACTATTCTTATGAATTTTTTGTTTGCTTCTAATCGCTTGATTTCAAGTCAATTAGATAAAACAGTATGAAAAACAATATTTATTTCTTAAAAAAAAGTAGAAATTGAATTACTTATTTTTTTAACCGCTAATTTACTAATATTTGTTGTTATATAACTCAAACTATATCAATCCAACATTTAAAAAAAAGTTTCTATCGGAAATGTAATAAATTGTATATTTACATAACAAGCATATTTTATTTAGCTATATACGATATTTATACATAGGCTTTTTATGTCTCTTTTGTACATACTTCAAATCTAGATTGAACCTCTTATAGATTTCCTTTCATATTTCGAAACATTGCAGATCTAAATATTATACGCTTTAGAGCCGGCGTGTATGTGCTGTGTAAAGAACATGAGAAATCAAATCAAACTAGATGGCTTCGATTTGATTCTTTTTCAACCAACAGGGTCTCCTCCTCTGCCCTCAAACCTTGTCGCAGACTCGCCGAGCTCGTCTCAGACGCGCATTCACTGAAGCCACGGGAGATACTGTTAACTACGTTAGAACGGTTCGACAAATAGTAATTGCATCTCGCACTACACCACCATCGACTGTACAATCAAAAAAACATCTATACATTAATGGCAAGCATACACGGACTGCTTCAAGCAATCGACAGTCCACAGTACCACAATTTACTATTGATGAAATTCCATAACTGCTCTGTGGACTGCTTGAAATGTCCGTAAAACCCTGCACATTCCACCTTAAAATACAAAATCATCTATCAAACGAACATTCAAAAATTCTACAATCAAAAAATCTCAACATTACCTATTGAAGAGCAATCACATATAATTGAAGTGTAACAATCTTATTTAAAAGTACAGTAACAATTGTATTAATGGCAACAGATTGTACAGTCGATACTGAGAGCTTAGTTGGCGAATGTGGCGTCCCTGTAGCTTCAATAAACGGTCACGGAGTTTTCACATCCTTAAATCCCATAGCACTTAGGCATTCACGTACACGTGATACTCTAAAGGTCATTTTAAGGTCATCTTCGTATCACAGCTCACTTATGCAATAAATTAGCTTTGTTTGTAACCATCTCTTTGATTGCGAATTTAATTAGGATGATTTTAGATTCTGCTTATGCAGTATCATATCCCATAGAGTTGATTGATTTATAAAATTCATCAATAGAACGATACACAGCACTTACACATCTCAGTGATGTTTTGATGATGAGGCACTTTAAAGTAGACTGCACTAGAATCTTAATTTATAGTATTTATATTAATTTAATGCAACGTTAATATATTAAGGTCTACTAACGGATTTTAACAAAATATTGTAACTTTTATAATGCGTTAAAATCATATTTCAATAGCGGTATATTTCTCTTAGTATCTTGGTTTATTTTCACTTCCTTCTTGTTTGTTTTGTAAAATTTAAGTGAATGTTTTTCCTCTAAGTTTAAATGCTTGGTTAATTTCTTTTTATTTTGAAAATGTTACAACCAGCATATTTTTATCAATTGCAGAACTTGATATGCGATTCTTGTCAGTTCATATGTTCACAACAAGGAACCAAAGCCCACTAGAATTAAGGAGAATCTAGACCACAGTCAATGGCGCTGGCCCATTGCAGGCTCTTTACACATATCTTTGAATTTCTTCGCAGATACGTGCAGGTTGCATGACGATATTTTTCTTCAAATTGAGAATGACGGATCATACTTCATACTAATATCATAAATGCGAAAGTTTAGATGGATGGATGGATGTTTGTTAGAGTTTATAGCCTAAACTGCTGAACGGATTTCGATGAAATTTGGCATAGAAGTAGTCTGGAAGACACTGGCTACTTGCATTTGTTATTTTAATTCCGCGCGGACGGAGTCGCTAGGGAAAGCTAGTCTTTATGAAATTTGAATAATGAACACATTGATACGTGGTGGAGATCGAACATAGACGTATAGATTTAGACCCCGGATGGTTGGTTTAACAATATCGCCACCGACTCTAAATGTGTGATCCTACCGAATATCCACATAGAAGAATCGAGATCTTTAGATAAACTTAAAGCATAAACGTTGAGTATAAAATTTATATGACATATATAAAATTTATTACATGTTACGTTACAGGTTTAGTTGAAGGTTCCGTTATAAAAATAAAATAAAGTTGTTTGTAATACACAATATAATTTTAGTGCGTTAAATTTTATCTGTACAAATTCTTCAATATGAACGACCATATTCGACATTTTTCTGTATTCCAAATTACATCGCTATCGATTGCTACAACTTGAGTTAACGGTATATTGTCCTATGATTGATTACGTTACAGTATATGTAAATATTTAACAGAGTACGCCGCAGTTACCTTTAAGAAATACAATGTCAACTTAATAAATATTAAACGATATTATTGACTTCAGTACAGTAACTAATATCGTTTGTTTTTGTCTCCATTAAAACAGCGTCACGATAATTAAGTTTGTATATCTTACAACATTACTTTGTTAATACCTCGACTTATCGCCATTTTGATTTTTTCATTTACCTTATACAGCTATGATTCTCAGTGGCCTGTATTTTGGAGAGCTCAAACTCCTCATCTACCAAAGAGGTTTTAATAGGTAAACTTTACTCAACACAAGTGATATATCTAAAATCATCAGGTAATTTAATATCGCTTTAAAAGGTTTCATTAATTTAATTATATGAATTCTTACAATCTTAAATCGATGTTGGCTTTATTGTTTGAACAATATTTTAACTAAAGTGTATGATATCTTTCTAAACCTCTTTTATGTAATATCTGTGCTTCCTTTTGTTTTGAAATACCATGTAGTAAATGTTTTGTTAGTATTAAACGTTACATAGAATACATAATGTAGAATATAGATAGATAGATTTGAGAGAGACAGATTTGTCATCTGGACGATTCCATCTGCTGTCCATTTGCATTTACAACTTCAACATAAACGGAATAAGCTGGTACGAGGCGATGTTATTTTGCGCGATGCAGTGAAGTTTGATCGACATATCTGCAGCCATTTGTTCGTATTTGGCTTGAATCCAGATCAATCCAGGAGATATATAGAATGCTTCGTAACACAATGCCTAGTTATGCCAAGATCTACCTAAAACGTATAGGATATCTCCCAAAGTTTTGTTTTTAAAAGTATTATAGAGCTAGGTTAAAGTGAACTTTTAGTCGGTCAATGTTTTAAATCGATTAATGTACCGGTGTGTCGGTAATCGATAAAAGGTTTCGATGCAATGAACTAAATGAAATGACAATCATAGTTTTGTTATCCTTAAATTCTAATTGCATTTAATACAATATTTAAAAGAATATTGTGGAATTTTAAGAACAGCAAAAGAGGATTTTATTCATTTTATCTTAATCTTTATCCGATTTTCAAAAGGATTTTTACTTACTTTTCTCTGTAACTCAAGTAAGCTGGGTATATAGTGACCACTGTATCAAAATTAATAAAAAGTTTCAAGAGCCACATTTATCTTTCTTACACCTAAATTCGCGTTATTATTAATTGACTGTTCTTTGTTTCATGTTAACTTTTCTTAAGTTATTTTAAAGAGTATGAAATAAAACTCCTTTCTTTATTATACTACAGTTAAATATAACTTACGACTTTATGAAAGGCGGCCTCAACTTTTTCAAATAACAATGTCCGATTCTGAGAAATGAATTTTCGAACGTCAACATCCCGTTCAATTGAAACTCGAAGCTTTTCATAAACAAAATCGGTTAAACGAAGTAAGTTGAAGTTGTTTACTCTTAAAATGTACGTTTTTCAATAACAACTTTGATATAAACAATTTACGGCAACCTTAAATATTACAATAAAAATAAAATTATAATTTAGTAGCAATAATTTCGCGTTTGAAAATAATAACAATCATATTTGATTTGATGCGAACCAAAAATAACAAAAGTCAAATATCAATTTTCTATTATTATTGAAATGTAGATTAATTCATAGTTTGAAATTGATATAAAAATCTATGTTTAAAATACTTCGATTTTCGAAACATTCAAAAAGAAATACAATATTGAATGTTTTTTTAATAAAATTTAATATTGCAGTTGGAATTGAAACTGTAATAAAATTCATGTATTGTTCGAAATATTAAGAGCATATGGTAAACATGAGCTGTAAAACTAAATGTATTGTAACGAAGTGTGAGAATACATGTCATAGATGAAAATTAAATGGACACTAAATATTATTGCAGTCTTGAAAACGAGCGAGAACCATTGACAGACATGAAGAAAATTATGGAACATATATGTAAATTGTTAACTATACAGCAGAGATTGGATTCTTAGATGGGTTGAATGACGTCTGCTTTTATTTTAATCTATTTTGATAAACTCTACGAGTTATTTTATGAGCCCTTACAGATAATGCTCTGATTTTTTTATAATATAAGGTTGGCAAACGAGCAAGTGGCCACCTGAATCCACCGAAATGGAAAGCGACCTCTGTCCATAAACATCCGCAATTTCAGATGCGTTGCCCACCCTTATTTGACGGAGGAGGAGACGTACATAAAGAGAATATTTCCCCTTCCTATGCGTCTCTTCCACAGTCAAATCCACTTTTCCTTCCCATCCTTTCCTCTTAGGGTGGAAAGGGAAAGGGACTAAAATTAGGCCTACGGCACCACACTCATCAAACGAAACGCGGAATGGCTTCCGCTTCACGCCTATGTGTGGTCGTGGTATTTCACCGGGTGATCCGGCCCTTTCGTGCTAAGATGTTAAAGCGGGTTCTACCAATGTTAAATTATTTAAGAAAGAAATATAATTTGAAAGTGTATTGGAAGAATCATTTTTAATACAATTTTTATTTTATAACACATTTTATTTTCATTCACTCACTCGTGAGCGGTAA